ATAGTGATATTCAAATGGGCTAGTAAATGAAAAAATTTGAAGGATCTTCGGTCCATAGTAATACTTAATAACCATTATTATTTATCATCTCATCAAAGCAAAAATGTAAAAATAGTGGTTGCAACTCCCCATTTTACAGATAAGCAAATTGAGACTCAAAGGGTTGAATTAATTTGTTTAAGATCATAAAGCTAGTGGAAACAGAATGAATACGAAAACTTCCAAGTCTTGTTTTTTAATCTCTATGCCATGTTGGCCCTCCCCTTCCAGGTACCAAAGCTACAGCCACACTACATTATATGTCTGATTAGTGGATCTCTATGTTGAATATGCCCTGAGCTTTCAATTCTCTTTGCCATTTGTTCACTTTATTTCCCCCATTTGAAATTGCCCTAACTTTGTCAAGCAGATGCAATTAATATTATCCTTCAGTACTGAATTAAGTTGCTACCTTTTTTATCTCACCTGCCTTCTCCCATCTTCACGTTAATGTTTTGTCTGTGTTTCTTTAACACTTATCTCACATATGTACCTTATAGCACTTATCACATGTGTCTCATAATTTCTATTCCTGCTGCTAGATGGTGCACTATGAGAGTCAGTAAAAAGTAGTATTTATTTAAAATGTCAGACTCTCTTCTAAGGGCTTCACAAGGATAGAATCACCGACTTCTCTCAATAACACCAGAAGGTATGTAGCCCCCTTTTTATTGATGAGGCATGTAGGGTTAAGTAATTTTCCCAAGATCATACATGCAGTAAATGACTGTTGAACTGAATGATGGCTAGGTAAAAATGCTTACTGAAAATGACTACAATGTATTTTTCCTTTCTGGATGAAATTAACTCTCTCAACATTCTTTTTCTCATGGAGGAGAAAACAAAATGACTTACTTTTTCATCTGGTGATCTTGAATATATGTGTAAGTTAAATATTATTTTATTTTCTATTCAAAATACATTAACCAGGACATGTATTACAATGCCAATTTTAATATTGTGTCAAGAATCTATTATTTTACAAACACACAGAGAGAAAAATAGGAACTGTGCTCTGTCTCCAAACCAAACTTGAAAAACTGTCTTTCTGAAGATGATGTTGTCTCAAGGTACCACAAGGAGGGAGGTTGGGTGTGGGGGTGGGGGTGGGTGGCTACGAATGCTTGGTGTGAGTATTTCCAAACCCCAAATCATCCGTGGCTTCTTTGTAGCCTTTTTCTCTATCACTCATAGGGAAACCATTCTCTGCTTTCCTCCACGGCTTTTTAAAGTTCCAGTCCTTGTATTAAGTGCCTGATCTGGTGGGAGGAAAACTGGCTCTAAATTCCTTTTAATCAAAAGGGCTTGAGCAGCTAATGGACATCCTCTCTTTGGCAAAAGGAGATAATGTAAAAGCCCCTTCTTGGTTTGCAGGAACAGTATAAAGGACACATGGACAATAATGAGGGGGGTTGGAAACAGGGGAGGGAGGTGAGGAGTGCTGAGGTGGTGGGGGGGGCAGTGGCGGTAAAAGGCAGAAAACTGTACTTGAACAATAAAAAAAGTTTTAAAAAGCCCCTTCTCTATTCTAAAAAGCAGACCTTATTTATACAATTCTTTTATAAAGTTAAAGCCACATGGTTTTAATACATTTTAGACCCTGTTATATTGAACTATAAGGCAAAAAAGAATTAGTCCCCCAAATATTTTCTCCATTGCTCCAGTATTCAATATCCCTTTAATTTATTTGACTGTTTTGACTGATGGCAAAAAACAATCCTGTCATTTACAAAGGACATCTTCATTTTGACCACTACATAGACTATCTTTGAACTTATCCTTCAAAATTAAGTAATTCTATCATTTCAATACAATGTAAAAAAGTTTCTGAGAGAACAGAGAAAGTCACAGAATACTAGCATTCCCTGAGAACAAGAGTCAGCAATAAACAATGACCTTAGTAGTCCCTTCAGTTTCCATTCAAAACATTTATAAGAGAATATTATCAAACATGAAAGTGATGTATTTTGCATAGAAAAACCAAACTCACAAGATTTTGGAACTGTAAATAACCCACAGTTCTGATAACCATCTACTTTAATATGTTTAGATAGAATTTGAAACATTACCATATGTCATCTTATCTTTTTTTATATGAAACTAATATGAGTTGGGTTTTTTTTTGTTTGTCTTAATAACAATACAGTCTATGGTACTGTTGGAATAAAATAAAGGAACAAGGTAAATTTAATGGGGAATACATGTAAGTGTTCAACTATATCAACACCTGTTGCAACACAACTCACTATTACATGACCAAAAAGGAATGTGTATCTACAATAGTAAATATGTTCAATTGTATTTGCAATAGAAGTAAATTTTTCAGCTGATAGATTAGGGAGTTTTGTTGTATATCTCCAATAAGGGCCAATAAAAATATTGAGGGAGTGACATATTTTAATAATAAGAGATATGTATCCTGTTTCACAGGTTATTCCCATCTTTGCTTGAGTGCCATGGGAGCGGGCATCTTAATGCCTTCCTTTACCCAGGTGTGCTCATGTTAACTTGCAAGTAGGTATAAGAACGGGAAAAAAAGACCTCTAGGTCTCTTGAAGGAACTGAAATATCTCTCTTGTGTAACTGTGCAGTCAGGACCTGAGGAGAACTTTAACACCCATTTTTTGTTGTGATTTTGTGTATAGTATTATCAATATTGGAACTTAGGATTCAAATATACAAAGATCATGGTGACTAAGCTAAATCAAGAGTTGATAAAACCTGGTTTCTCTTTGTCCTCAAGATCATTGCTGAATTTTTTCCTGATTGCTGGTGGTATTTGAACCTCTAAGCAAAACTCTATAAATATGATCACTGAAATTATATCTACTATAATTTTTTTGAGTTTGACATATAATATTACCAGAATAACTTTTGATCATCATTTCTTTTGTTGTAGTATATTGGATAATGATTTTAGTACCACCAAGGGGACTTTATTGCTAGATTCAACCCAGTGTTGAACATTAAAGTTTGTCTCATATCCAATCAACTTTGGTATAAAGTAAAAATGAGGCCAAACTGAGTCCTCACTAAATCACAGCTTGAGCTGTCTATATATGAAAAAAACTGAATAACTGTATATATCACCTAGACATTTGTTATTTTCCCTTATTTATATTTATATTCTCTTTACAGATATACTATAACAATAAAAATGTCTGCTCCATTACTCCTAAACTCATTTTTCAAGTACAAAAAACCCCAAAGAAATTAAAACAATGAAAAACAATAACAACTCTTCTGGTTTTGTCGTAACATTATTGTAAACCACTCTTCTTACAAGCTAAATATACAGAACCTAACATTTCTACTCTGCCACAAATTAAAACATGATATTTATATTAAAATTCTGAACGAACAAAGCAGGTATAAAAGTCTCTATATTATTGCTTATAAGAATAAATATAAGGATAATTATGACAAACTATCAAATAATGCTTTTAGTGACAATAAAATTTGTCAGTTTATCAGCTTTATACCCCCTATCATTAATGCATTTCCATTTCTAGAGTACAGTAAACAACAAAAATCAAAAAGCAAAACCATAATAAAGCTAGTTTTTCTAGTTTGTGCCTGCTTTCTAGGTTAAAAGAATTATTGTAAAAAACTGTACAATATATTCCAAGAAAAGTAACAGGCCACACAGGTAAGTTTTGGCAAATGCAACTTTATATTGAAATTCACACATCTGTATCTTAAAGAATGAGATTCAGACTCCAATATATTTTTAAATTACCAGAAATCATATTACAAGCTTTCACAAGTTAAATCTGAAATAATTTAAGTGACCAATACACTGAATGTGCAGAAAGTATAAACAAGACTGTGCCTTCTGTAGAATAAACACTTCACAAATTGTGCAGGATGTCATACTAAGGCTGTGGTCTCCCTTTAACAACTGACTTAAAATATAAACATATATCAACTGCCTCATTCTTAGAACACACCAGAATGGGTAGCACACCTCAGAAGAAACTCTCATTATCCCAATGATGTATATCTTAATTTTTAAACCATGTGAGGAACAAGGAAAAAGAGAATTAATGATCTTCCATGTACTTCCAGATGCATGACCATGACCAGTTACTGATTTGATTTTCCTTGATTATTTGCTTCAATGCTAAATAAGATGAAATATACTAGATAACTCTTTAAGGCAATGTGTATTTATTCTAAATTATTAGAACTGCTCATTGTGATTGGTTGCTGTGATTAATGTTGCCTTCCAGACCAGTATCTAGCATTTGCAAAATAAAAAACAATTGAAAAAATTTTATACCCAATCAAGAAGAATAACATAATATAGTTCAATGCTAGCAATTTAACAAGTAGATAAGGAAAGTGATAATTAGAAATAGTAAGGTATTAATTTAAGAAATAAACTCTAATTGGAACCAATACACTGCTTTGGAATGTTCGTCTAAATTTATAAGGTGATTTTTTAAAAGTGTGATAATCCAATAATTCATGGTATATCTTTAGTGGATTACATTACTTTAAGTCCTCAAATATTTTAGACTTCATGAAACAATAATAGTATGAAATGTTTTAAAGACTTTAAACTTCTAGAATTAGTTTTTATTACTATATTTACTTCATGTCAACTTGATTTATTAAGATGTCCAATACTAATTTTTTTATATTTTTCATAAGTAGTGATTTAGCACTGATATTTAGCACCTGTTAATTATATTATCTAGTTTTCAACCACATAAAGAAACTTAGGGCAGAGGTTCAGTCCTTTTTTAATTGCAAACCTTCATGGGCAGTCAGCAAGATCACTCTGAGTTTTAAAATAAGATTACAGTTGAATGATTACAAAGACTGCTGAATGTGGCCCAAATTATTATAGCCACTAATCTCATTCTTTACTTTCTTCTCAAGATGTGGCTACAGGCCACAGTTGCTTAATAGAGAAGGTCAGTGTTTCACAAGGTTAAAGATTTATAAATGTTCCTTCATATAACACAGTAAGGTTCCCTTGGTAACCTGGATTTTCTGCAGTAAAGAAGGGTTGTGCTGAAACAGCGCCTCAGCTCCCTATTGGAGAAAATGCAAACAAAAGGGCTGATTCCTGCTTGAGCAAAACTCATCCAGACAGCAGCTGTTAGAAATCCCCCTGGTACTACAGGTCCTCCTGCAAAAACTCTCCAATAACAGGCTACCAGGTAAGGGCCCCACAAGGTTAGGAAGAGAAAAGTCATTATATAGAACATTCTGCTAATTCTTTTTTCCATTTTGAATTCATCTAAGACCAATAGCCTTCTTCTGCCCATAGTGTTTGCATTTTGCCTGATGCCCAACAAGGTAGGTGGTGTGGGACCCCTTCCAAATCCCGCTAGCCAATTGGCAGCTGCCTGGCCACTGGCTCCTGGGCCATGAAAAGTCCAGTTCTGGCTGACTGCTGCTACAAACTGGACTGGCTTCATTTTCCTTCGATCGTGAACAAAAAATATCAGCTTGAGGTAGACAAGCTGTGTGGCTAGGAGGATGAGAGCAAGGAGCAGCATAAATCCTAAGGAATCATTGGCCCTGAAGGAGCGGTGCTGGAAGGTGCATTGATCTTCTTCTCTAATGAATGAGTAAGTGCCCACATCTAAAACCGGGGGAAATGCCATGGCCACAGATAAAGTCCACACCATGCAGATCACAGCTAGGCACGTCCAAAACGTCAGCCTCTTTGTATAGAAACGGTGATGGGCGATGGCTAAATATCTGGTGACACTGATGCAGAAGAGCATGAAAGCAGTGTGGAAACAGGATAAAACCCCCAGGAAGGCAATCACTTTGCAGGTCAAAGTCCCATAAGTCCAGGTAGAGCCATTTTTAACAGAGTTGAATACAAATGGAAAACAAATTGCAGACCTGAGGATATCAGAACAGCAAAGGTCCAAGAGGAAGTAGTATGGTGCTCTATGCAAAGTCTTATCTTTCACTAGCAAAATGGAGATCAGAAGGTTGCCCACCATGCTGACTCCTATTATGAAACCCAGGGAAGTCAGTTTCAGAAAGGCTGTTAGAGGAGAGAGATTTTGTAAAATGTTGTCAGCTGCATGGCTATAGTTCGCCATAGATGGATGGAAGATCAAGATTACAGCCTCAGTCAAGTCTCATGATCTAGATAAAACAAGGAAAAGATAGATCCATACATTTTTCACTGAAAATGTAATCCCGAAAGAGAACTGATCCAATCTGCAGTAGTGCTTCTCTTTTCTTCCATTTGATTTGCCTCAGAATATCTAGGGGGAAAAAAAGAGCTATCAGTTCTTAAGTTAACAAGCAATGATGTCAGGCAGTGCTAACATAAAGCTGTTGATTTATGGGGAAATAAATAAAGTTTTAATTTTGAATAATATTATTTGCTTTAGTATTTTTGCTTGAGAATCCAGAGAATTAGCTTGCTTAATTTTTTGAGCTAAGTAAATTGAAGAATGTTCCTATTTTGGAGAACATACATTTTAGTAGGTACCTTTAGGACAAAAGGAATACTGTTCCACAATCATAAAATATGCCAGTCCAGGAATTAGTCAGTGATTGCAAAAGAATCTACACGATTGATAATAGGAGACAGAAAGGAGACTATCTACATTTATTTTAGGTCTATTAGAATCTGTCAGTATTTTATAGGTAGTGTCTCTGCTGATTTAGATCCAAAGAACCCTTGCAAAATATTTGTCTTTTAACTCGTGTCACTATTCATGCTGCATATTGTAAGAGCATTTGTTGACTTAAATCATAATTTAAAGCATGAACACTAGACTTCTAAATTAATAGGAACTTGTCCCAGAATTTGACGGTGATTTAATTTTTTGTCTTCCCATCCCCAGCTCACCCCACCTCAGTTTTGGCAAATCATCTCTCTTTTAAGCACACATGATTATTAAAAATGGTTAATGTAAAGATTGGCCAGGAGGACACACCCAGAGAAATAATACACTTTTATTTTTAAATTTTGGATGCTTGGATTCAAATAAATTTAACATTACCTTGTATTTCTTGGGCAATTAAGCCTTTCCATTTACTTTGATAATCTGTGTTGCAAATCTAAAGTGGTTTCATTTAAAAGAAAATGTACATTTTCTCCTAGGTGTCTGGGGACCACATGAGGGAAATCAGCTTCTTCTGTTACTCTCACTAAACATGTTTCCTTTACCACTTTTCACTTGCCAAGAATATGCTGGTGGTAAGCCCAGGCAAAACTGCGTTCTATGATTTTAATTTCCCCTTTGGTACATCCCCTGGTAAATACTGATTTCATCATGCAACATTATGAAACCTGAAATCCGCCACCCCTGGATTTATAATGGGGGGTGGAGGAGGAGGAGGGGAGAGAGACATGCATTACATACGCGAAGATGGGGAGAGAAGATTGCTTCTGTGCTGCAAGGGAACTGTTCCCAGCGATTCTCAGTCTGATATTCCTCAGCCTTGTAAAGCTTTCCAGAAATGGAGATTTGAATAAGCCCTACTGAAGATGCATTGTCTGATGTACTTCCATTATGCAGTTTATTGTTTAACTACACACACACACACACACACACACACACACAGACACACACACACAATAAAACACCACCTGCGTGGGGGTGGGAGGGAGCTCTTTCCCGGCAAACCTGCAGTTTTATGAACAATGTGAGCACTCCCCCCCCACCACCACTACCAAAGTTAACGGAGAGTATGTCCTCCTACCTGTTGATATTGGATATCTCGACAGACTATAGCTTGTTTCTGTAAATTGCTGATATTTTTTCTTTTCTTTCTTTTTTTTGGCTTTTCCTTTCCTTTCCTTTTTCTTTTTTTTCTTTTCTTTTTGCCTTAGTGCTTTCACTAGCAGACAGGCAAGGCTGGGTGGCGCCTGCGCGCTGGAACCTCCTTGAGCTCCAGCCAAGTCCTCTTCTGTCGCAGCGGCAGGTCTCCCGCAGTAAAGAAGAGGTAGCAGCTAGGTCGGGCAGGACCGCAACACTTGGTGGAGCTAACTGGAGCCCAGACCTGTTTTCGGAACTGGCGGAATTTAATGAATGCCCCATCCTGTTTAATATGCAATATTGTGGGTGCGTCTGAACTTACCCCTACCCGCCTGGGAAGAGGGGACTGGAAAGATTCGCTCAGGAACTCAGGCCTACACTTAGCTCTGCTCACGAAAGAGCCACCTTTCCCGGAGTGCCCGAACCCTCGCCTTCCCTGAACATTTTTTCCTTTACTCTTTAAGAGTGGTCAGAAGCATTGGAATCTTTTGTAGGGTTTCTTTTTAAATGATCTCCCCTGCTGACCTTTAAATTTGCCGGTTAGCTGGGGGCGGGGAGAGAAAGAAATTAGAGAGGGGAGGGTGAGCAGGAGAGAGAAATTTTTAAGCAACAGTTAAGAAAAACCTGGTCAATGGGGAACAAGGCAGCCCTGTTTGTAAGTCATCTATTCTTAAATGAACGCAAATATGTATTAAGTAGGGAAAAGCTAAATTCAGACAACTGCAAAATGATTTAGCTCCGTCTATCTTAATAAATATGACTTAAAAATCTCCAATTATAAATGACTATTCCTCGTATTTCAACTCACTGAGCGATAGCTTTTCTTTTTCCTTCTTGCATCTAAGACTTACCAGTAGATTGGTAATGTCAAAGCAGTTGTGTATGTGTTTCCCTTTTTCCCCTTTGTTATTACCAAAGAAAAATACTAAGAATACAAGGAATTAATAAAACTTGACTTGGCGGGGTAGTTTAGTTGGAGCTTGTACTGGTGAGCCAGGGTTTCAGGTGTGGACCCTCGGTATGAGAGCATACAGGAATTAACCAAAGAATGGATGGGTGGAGCAACAAATATGTTTCTCCCATTCTCTGTCTCTGAAATTAAAAAAAAAAAAAGGTTTACACCCGCCCAAAATGTCCGATGCTACCACAGCACACCATGCAGTCTGACATCTGGGTGCTTATGGATGACTCTGGAATCATGCATTTCCTTATTTTACCATTTTGGAACAATATCGTTTGTAGGGGTAATATAACATCTTAAACAACTCCCCACCTCCCCAAAAGTAGCAGACTTGCTTCCATTAATTCCCAGTGTAAAACATCTACTTCTCCTCACACATGCTTGCTGCTTTATAATAATCTGTTAATGAAACAGAAAAAATAAAGATCTTCACGGTAATAATTTGATCTTTGAACAGTGGTAAATACCTCACTGTTAGTGAGAATGTGACACTCTGGGGAACTTCAGCCAACCACATACAGATAATATGGATTAATTTCCATATTGTATTTCTATTGGTTGTACAGCTTTCTGTTTAAAGCTTAAAAATGATAACTTCAATGTCATGATGTCAACACAAAGTCCTATGTTGGTAATACTGAAATGATGTTAAATTTTCCTAATTTGTTTTGGGATGTCCTAAATCCACTAAAATATAGATATCAATTTGTTTTCTTTTTTTTCTTGTTTCTTTATTTTTAATTTTTTTATTGTTAGAAAAATATATAAAGCACCTAACTCTGGCATTCCTTTAATCTAGAAAAATCAATCTTACAGTAGTACTGGAGTAACAACATTTCTATTCAAGTGAAACACTACTCTTTTCTGCCAAATTCAGAAGAAATCAAAACTATATGATGTATTATAATTTCTAAGTGAAATGTCAAATTCATTTTTATGGAACGTCAAATATTTTCAATTTGTTCTTTTTTTACTTCTCAATTAGTGCCTTGGTGTACTTGGCAAAGAGTTATTTCATCAGTTTCATATTTTAAAATATCTGTAAAATAGAAAACAAATTTGCTGAGTACTCATGATTTCACAGATATTTGGTTGTATGGAATAGGGAATATTTATTTAAAAGTAAGTTAAAAGGGTGACTGTCCTGCCAGGCCATGAACCAAAAATTTATTCTGCCAAAATGTATGGGACCAAGATCCAAAGATTTAAATATACTTTAAGAAACAGGTATGGGCTTTCTTAAAAATAGGGGGAAATGCATATGCAATATTCTTACATTTTCACATCTCAGGGTATATTAAGGCTATACTTTTCCTTTGCAAATGAGTATGGCTATATCTACTAGTTCTTGATTTTTTTTAAGCTGTGAAGTGATATGTCCTTTTCTTGCTTCACAAGGGGGCTCAAGAAATTAATAAGGTAGTTGCCATTTAGTTCATTAACTGTACTGGAGCAGGTGTGCCTGACTTGTGGCCTGCCAGCCACATGCTACCCAGGATGGCAATGGATGTGGTCCAACACAAAATTGTGAATTTACTTAAAACCTTTTTATTTCCTCATCAGTTTTCATTAGTGTTTGTGTGTTTAATGTGTGGCCCAAGACAGCTCTTCTTCCAGTGTGGCCCAGAGATGCCAAAAGGTTGGACACCCTGTAAAGTCTGCATCTTACATCAACAGGGATTAAAAAAATATTGAACAACTGAGAAAAATTTCATATAATCTACAAGTTATCAAATGTAAATGTATTGCTTCAAAGTGATCAGATCATAACCTTGTTTGATCTTAGCATTCTTTTTGATTCCTTATATCACCAAACATAGAAAATTATATTAAGAGTAGAGGAACTAAGCCAACAACAGGAAAATACTCTATCCACCCTGGGTTGGAAGGACTCCAAAGGTTTTCAAGTTCTTGGAATGTTACATTTATTATATTGATCAGTGGATTAGGAAGTCTAATGTAATTTGCTTCTTATAATAAATATATGTATTTTTTTTAAATAGCAATTTTCTTCTTTTCAAAATTAATAGGATATTTCATTTTTTCCCCAAGTGATGCACAGTTTCACGATGGTCAAATGAAGTATTTTAGTTGTAAGTATTGTTTATGTGAAAATATGTGTCAGCATGTAAACAATTCTTGGTGAATACAGAGATTAATAAGCCAGGATAAAAGTTCTAAGAAAATACTTTTTAATCTTTTATTTAAAGTGCTATTTCTCCAGCTTAAAGCTTGTCATTAAGTCTTTAAGTAGACATGCCTTTGGTATTCTTAACTCTTACTGAAATCTAAACTTGTGTATGAAAAGAAAATTTTTGTAAATTTTCTGGAAACTATCTTGGTAAGAAAGATTCCCATCAGGAATTTTTTCAGAGAA